AAAAAAAAAGAATTATATATATTGTACAATATGTGCATTTTAAAATTATATAAAATTTAGATGTGAAATTAAGTAAAAAATTAAAGAACTTTTTTTAAATAAATAAAAAAACCCCCAAAGCTATGAGATACCACCTAAGAGGAAAGCCCAAATCAGAAAATCAGAGAGCAACAAATGTTGGAGGGGATGTGGTGAGATAGGAATTCTCCTCCACTGCTGGTGGTCGTGCAGATACATACAAGCCACTTTGGAAAGCCATCTGGTGATATTTAAAGCAAATGGAAATTGAGTTACGTTATGATCCAGCAATCCTCTACTGGGGATATACCCAGAAGAGGTAAGAAATAGACCACAACCAACTGTCAGAGCGCCAATGTTTATTGTGGCACAATTCACAATCAAAGAATTGGAAACAACCTAAATTTCCATCAATAAACGAGTGGATTAGAAAACTCTGGCACATACACACAATGGAGTACTTACTACACATCCCTAAAAAGCACTGATGATCGAATGAAGTACATCGTCTCATGGGAAGAGTTGGAGAAAAGTATGCTAAGGGAAGTCAGCCAAGCACAAAAGGACAAGTAGAACATAGTCCACTGAAGTAAGTATAATCAGCACAGTAGTTACAGAAGAAAAGCCGCTTTTCTCACACTCTACTGGTTGAGGTACAGGCAGTCAGGCAGGGGATAGACCCAAGGATGTACATGTCATTCCAACACAAAGAAGGGACAAGGGGCGAGGGAGGAAAGGGGAAACAAAGAGGGAGATGATGACACTGGAGGACTAGGGTACTAACCCAGCTAGCTGGAGGGTATTGTTTATATCTCTACAGAGATGGGAGTGTGAGTACAGACCCCACCACAGCGCCAAACCTTGAGGGCAATGTAACCACATGGAACAAACAGAGAGGTCTATACAGCTGGCCTCAATCAGAGCCAAACCGACCCCCTCCCTAGAAGTATGTGCTACAGAGGACAACACTAAACCTACAGGCTGGGGAGAGGGGCTAGCCTGCCACACCCACACAGAAGCAAACCAAGAAGTGAAAAGAGAGAGTGAGGGACTAGACCCTATACTGGCACACCACACCCTGAGGCTGACGTCTCTGCATGGAACTGCTAAGGCACAGAGAGGACAACAGCTCGATACATGATGTCTCCTCTCTGGAGCATGCCATAACAGAGGGCAATACTGGGGACACACGGTGGGGAGTGAATTCAACATGACCCCCCGCCCACAGTGGGGCAAGCCAAGAAAGGAACATAACAGATCAGCAATGTGAGCAAAGCCAAGACAAAGGCCCTGAGGAGCCCCCAAAATAGACTTCAGGCTAGGAGGGGTAGTTCCCAGAACTCCCCTGGACTGGTGGGGAGATAGTCATTAAGGTCAGTGGACAAACGTGGGATTATGTATGCTTGTTCTTTTGTTTTTGCTAGTTATTATTTTTCCCCACTTTTTATTCAATCTTTTTGTTTTGTCTCTATTATTGTTGGTTTGCCTACCTATGTAAGATAGGCATGGGGAGCAAGCCTGAGGAGAGAGCAATGGGACAGACGGTTCTGGAGGGACTTTGGGGAGGAGGAGGCGGGGGTGGGAAAGAGTGGTAAGCAAACAACTCCATAAACAGTGGAACAACTAGGGAATTGAAAGCAACAATGAGGAGGACATAGAGATCCGGGTGGTGTTGAAGCAACTGCAATCTAGCTGAGAGGAATTACTAAGAGGCAGAAGAAGAGAGAGTGTGATGGTGGGACAGCAGGATGGTAAAAGGAAACATGAAAGATCTAGGAAGCAAAGCTATGGAGAGAGGTATAAACATAGGTGTACAATATATTTACTTACATAAATATATTAATTCATAAAAATAGAGGTTTTGGCCTATGTACATATATTTATATGGCAATACATTGAGGAAGTGGATGGACTTTGGGCCTCTTCTCAAGCACTCCCTCAATGCAAGAATACTTTGTTCTCACAACCTGGCATTTTGTGATGCTCACCCTCCCAACACAATAGCTGAAGACAAAATGAATGCATAAGCAAATGTGGTGAAGTAAGCTGATGGTGCCCGGCTATCAAAAGACATAGCATCTGGAGTCTTAAAGGTTTGAAGAGAAACAAGCCGCCATTTAGCAGAGAAGCAACGAGCCCATATGGAAGATGCACACCAGCCTGTGTGGTCATGAGGTGTCGATGGGATCAAGTAACAGGTATCAGAAGACCCAAAACAACAACAAAAACATATTGGTGAGAATGAGGGAAGTCAGAGCAGAGATCCAAAACCCATCTGTAGACAATAGGACATCCCCTTACAGAAGGGTTACAAGGAAGGGATGAGTCAACCAGGGCACAGTATAGCACTGATGAAACACACAATATTCCTCTACTTCCTTCAGGCTTCCTCACCCCCCACTATCATGACCCCAGTCCTACCTTTCAGTTCTGGTTAGACTGAAGCATGTACACTAGTACAGATAAGAGATCACAACACACTGAATCCAGGTCAGATAAGCTCCTCAGGAACTCGCTCAGGGAGTAGCGATACCAGGAGGGTAGGTGAAAGGTGTGGGGAAGGAGGAGAGGGAGGAGGAACTGATTGCAATGATTGATAAATAACTACCCCCCCCCCACCTCTGAGAGGGATGAACAAGAGAAACATGAAGGGAGACAGTGGTAGGTGTAAGATATAATAATAATAATAATTCATAATTTATCAAGGGGTCTAGAGGGTTGGAGGTGGGAGGAGGAGGGGAAAAAGAGGAGCTGATACCAAGGGTTCAAATAGAAAGTAAATGTTTAGAAAATGATGATGGCAACATATGTACAATTATACTTGATACAATTGATGTATGGATTGTTATAAGAACTGTAAGAACCCCAATAAAATGATTTTTAAAAATAAATAAATAAAATTTAACACCTTATCATTTGATGTTGCTTTTGACTCATTTGAAATTGATTCTCATTTTTAATATTTTCAATTTTCCTTTTGATTGAAGTCTTTCTCTGTTATATTTTGTTAGGATTTTTGTTAGGTTGTTTATTGTGAGATTTGCTATATATGAAATCCAGTATAGGCAGGGGCCAGCCCAAATCCCAACTATGTGGGCAGCATCCCCCTCCCTGCAGAAGAACTCACTTCAGAGGACAGCACAGAAGTAAGTGAAACAAGTTCACAAGAGCAAAGAATATCACCTTGAGTCTATGCTATCTGAATTTCAAGAACAGATTTGCTGTTCTTAAAGAGCTGATGAGCTGTGGAATGATATAAAAAATATAATTCATGAAGAAGGTTAAAGGTCATTGAAAAGATAGGAAAGAGAGACAAAATCAAAGTGGATGTCAGAAGAGACTTTTAAATTTGCTCTTATTCATAGCTAAGGCAAATGGAGGAAAGGATGAAGTCAAACATTTGGACAGAAAAATTCAAAGGGCAGCTCAAGAAGAGTGTGTAAAATATTATAATGAAATGTGTACAGCCCTACAGCTAGAAAACCGAGAAAGGATGAACCCACATAGCATATCTTGAATGGAAAGAACTGAAGAACAAATTCAAGTCTGGAGCTGTAATACTGAAATATTCTTTTTTTTTAAGACTGAAATATTCTATGGGCAAAATATTGAATGATGCAGGAAGCATTAAAAGAAGATGGAAAAAAAATAGTCACTGTACCAAAAAGAACTCGTTGACATTCCACCATCTCAAGAGGTACCCTGTTTGCCCCAAAATAAGACAGTGTCATATTAATTTTTGCTCCCAAAGATGCGTTAGGTCTTATTTCAGGGGATGTCTTAGTTTTCCATAAAGAAGAATATGGTACATATTTATTGTTTTATTAAAAGAGACCTCACACATCCTGTCTGCTCAGGCTGCGCTGCGGCCAACAGTGAACTGTGCGGCGTTGCCCCCCGCTACATTCCAAAGTCCAGAGTTATGGTAGCTTCAGGGGGGCTTATTTTGGGGGAGGTCTTATTTTCGGGGGGATGCCTTATATTTCAGCGAGAGGCGAAACTGTAAGTAGGTCTTATTTTTGGAGGATGTCTTACTTTCGGGGAAACAGGGTAGCATATGAACAAGAACTAATGGTGCTGTGGACCAGGATGTGAATCACCTTGCTATCATGCAGAATGCATTGGCAGTGCAGTTAGGTTAAAGTCAGTTGTGACAAACAGATGCTGTACAGTCTCATGTAGGCAGAATAAGCAAAGACAGAACCCACAGATGGGTTCGCGTTATAAGGGTGGGAGGGAGGGAGAGAGAGTTTTTGAGCAGGGGGCTAAGAGTTTCTGTTAATGGTCCCTCTGATCCTGGTAGGGGTGTTTGGAGACACTGATGATTCTGGGAAAATTCAGAGGCGGGAGTTGAGGGTGGGGTGGGAGTAAGGCAGAGGGGAAAGAGCAAACTATACCCTGCCCCCCCACCCCAACCTGGTTCCATCAATTAAGCAATGCAAGCGTGGTGACAGAAAGTCTCTGAGATGGCCCCTTCTCTCCCCCCAGTACTCTTTGCCTGAATCCTATTGATTCACTTTTGTTTACTGTCCAAAGTCCCGGGGGCAGAAAACGCAAGGTGAGAAACCCTGGGACACACAGGCTGGGCTCACTGCCCAACATGGGCCAGCCACCTCCTTCCCTCTCTTGTCTAACACCACCTCCTCCAGGCCTTTGACACCCCACCCCCGCCTCACCACAGAGCCTGGGCTGCCTGCCGCAGGGATCCAAGAGTCAGAGCTCCACAGCGGTAGCAGGTAACCCAAAGTGGGGAGGCAGGTGGGGCTGAAGATACTAGCGATTAAGGAGAGCCTGGTTCAGGGGCAGTGAGGGTGAATGGGAAGATATGGTTGGTTTGGCTCATGAGAGTAAAGGCAGAAGACTCAAGCCCCCCACCCCCCCACCCCAATCTCCGGAGAGGGGAGTAGACCCCAGCTGTATTTCAAACCTCCGTCTCAACTTCCCCTCCAAACTCCTATCTAAATCAAAGCCACCACCTCTGCCTAGACTTGACTCCACTGCCAGCTGCTACCAGCTCCAGCCCCAAGAGCAGCCTCAGCGCCCCTCGACCCAGCACCGCGCCCGCGCCAGCTCCTGTCCGGAGCGCGTCATGGAGAAGGACTTTCAAGACATCCAGCAGCTGGCCCCCGAGGAAAATGACCACCAGCTGGGTAAAGATGAGGAACCAGGTCTTCGAGGGCAGAATCCCCAGAGAGAAGATCCGTTTTGCAAAGGTCAGTGTCCAGGGTCTGAGGCCGTGTGCCACCTCTGCCCCAGCTCCTGACGCGGCTCTAGTCTCTGAGGTCTTGACCACAGGGACTGCACAACAGGGAGGGGTGTGAGGGGCACGGGGCCTTTGCTTCCCTCACCTTCCTGTCCGCTCCAGAGACCTCAGAGTGGTGTGCGCTTGGGGGCGTGAGATTAACAAGCTAAAGACAGTTTCCTTTCTTCTTTCTCCCATGTGTCTATGGGGCTGTGTGCACAAGGAATACAGGTTACACAAGACTTCGGGTGGGGGGTAGTGTTGGGGGAGGTGTGCGTGAATGAATATGGAGAGGAGCCTGGAAGATTCTTGGACCTGTCTCGGCAACTCCCCCACCCCACCCCTCTTTTCTAGAACAACTCTTGACTGCAGGCCCAAGTGTCAGGGCAAAGGTTTCAAGGTGAGAGGCGCTCACTTGATTCTAGAGGGAAGGGCAGGAGCCCACAGAATGGCAGGTGGTGCAGGAGGGGAAGGGGTGTGGGTGTTGGGAATGGAACAGGGTTCTGTGGAGACAAGAAGGGTTTGGACCCGGAGGTCAGAGAGAGGGGACTGGTTAGCCTGAGCCAGGCAGAAGTTGGCAGACAGAGGCAGGGCTAGTGCTGCTGGTGGTGAGGGTGGGAGCTGGAGAGGGCAGGAAGGTCGGGCAATCCTACTGGTAGGGCTTTTCCTCTCCTCTCCTCTCCTCTCCTCTCCTCTCCTCTCCTCTCCTCTCCTC